GAACCCCAGGTGGTCGAAATTTCCGGAGCCCTCCACTACGGCGTCTCTCATAATCATATGGTGGTTTTGGGACGTTAAACCCCACAAATCAATCAATCAATCTTGCGTAGTTAAGGTTTTGTGAACAAGAAGGCAGGTGAATGAGTATTGTTGAAAAGTGTTATAACCTGCGAGGCGCACGGCATTGCCGGGCTCTTGAAGGGCAATGACGGCGCACAGGTGCTCAAATGTTTCAAGATAGAGGCGGAAATGGGCCCGTTTGGTCCTATCTTTGAAGCCTCTACAGTTCCATTGAATTATTGAGAGTTAGTGAGGTTTTCGGTGTGGGGATGTAGAGCAGTTAAGATGAGTCGCCATATTGAGAATTTGGGGTGGCTGGGAGGGACTCTGCCTCTACTTTGGCGCCCTGTGCAAGTGGGAGCTCGGAGTCCTCGGAGGTTTCAGCGATGCTGATGGTGTGTGAAAACTTAACGGGATGATTAACGTCCTTCAGAGTATTAGCCCTTCGGCTTTGAGGGTTTACGCCTTGGAGCCAAGTTTTAATGTTACTCGTCACCTGTTGGGTAACAGTGTTGGAAAAAGTTTCCAAGCTTTTGCTCATGGCGGTGAGTTGTGTCATTAAAGCGGTCATAGTACTTTCATTCTGAAATCGCTCTTCAGTGTTAGAAGGCTCAGAGATGGAAGGAATGGTGCACATGGGCATCGGTTCTGGAGCGGGAATGGTAATATTGGTGAGAAGTGACGTGGAGCGGACTGGTGGACTACCTGTCTCCAAGGCAAGAATTCTGGCTTGAAGCAGCGCGTTCTGTGCCCGCAGCGCAGCAAGCTCTTGTTTGAGCTCGAGGAATTCGGGGAAGGAGGCGGGGAAGGAAGAGCAATAGGAGGAGGAGGAGCAGTTTTCTTGAGAACCTGAGAAGCAGTTTTCTTGTTAGGCAGCTTACGGGCGCCGGCATCAGTCAGAAGTGAAACATCCCCAGATTGGAGAATGGGGGCAACCTTGGTCAGGTGTCTTGGATGACGTTTGCTGCGACGGTGTTTTAGGTGAAGGTCGTGCTTGTTGACTGGTCCCTCCAGTAGCAGGTTCTTCATGGCTTGGTTGGTAGCTCCCGGCTGACGTCCTTCTGGTACGACGCCAGATGTCTTTGGCGTTGACAGCTGCTTCGACAAGCCGCGACTGCCATGATGCCCGCCCGGCTGCTGCAGGCGGCGAAACATTGCTTTGCAGGCCTGGGATCCGGTGAGGTGTCCCTCACTGCACACCATGCACAATGGTTTGCACACGTGCGGTGCCATCTCCTCCTCAGAAGCACCCAGAACTTGACCACAATAGCCGCAGCGTTGGTTGTTTGGGTGGGGACACAGCTCCAGCCGGTGGCCCACCGTACCACACTGGTAGCAGGCTGGAATGGTGCGTTTATATTCGCGTACTCGTGTCACAAAGCTGTAGTAGTGCACAAAACGTGACATGCGGCGGCCCTCGAAGGTTATAAGGGCCATCGAAGTCTTGCCAAGCTTTCTGATGAGAGCGATACTTCTACCACGTCAATGGATCTTTGCTTTCAAGGAGGCGGAGGTCTCCTGCTCGTGCACCGTAATGACGCCACGGCACACTTCCCCACTGATCTTGGTGTGGCCAATCATTGGTAGAAGACCTTGTGATGTTTCGAGTTAGAATTCTCAAGAGAAAAGGTTTGCAGAGTTGATGTTTTCGGTTGAGACAACAATGATATTTTGCTCCCACATGGGCCACACACTGATAGAGTCACTCGAGGTATCGTTCACGTATGAGGTGAGCTTGGCGCCTAGTTCACCTGGTTGAAAAGTAGCTTTGAGATCCACCATGACGCGAGGCTTCAGTACGATGGTGAAGTCTTCTGCAGCAACGCGGGGTATAGCAGTAGGCCGCCACAATACACGGGATGTCTTCTTCTCGGGTGGTATGTTCGCGGACGCGGCCTTATTGGTAGCCGATGCCTTGGGTAGCTTTAGACTGCTGGCGACGCTTGCGGAGGGCCACCAAGGTGAACAGTCCCTCGTCCACAATATCCGTTGGTGGAACAGAGTTTTTGGGCACTGTGGTAAAAATTTCTTTCCACGCCAATGTGTTGGGATCATATCCATGGAGAGTGGTGGCCGCCATCTGTGGCTGCGGCCGCGGAGAAGTTCCGACGCAGTCAGCGTTCGGTGCAACGCTCGGTCGGGCGAGCGTAGCTACCACAAGGTCAGGTCAACAAGTAGACATAAAATGCACCAAAATTGGCCCACCTGGATGAGAGAGGTGTCTTCTAGTGCAGAACAATGTTACAAAGAAGATAAGATCAATCTTGATGAAGTGTGAAGCAGGGTTCCACCGGTCCTCACGAATAGAGCGGGAGCCGATGCGACCCGCGTCCGCTCTTGTCGCGTGCTCGTAGCGTTTTTCCATAACAAGTAAGCATCCATGTGCGGACAGAGTTGCTGACAACGTCACTGTGAATACCTGCTAAGACCTGTAAATCACGTTCGCCATGTAGTAAGTCGCTCAATGCCGACTAAGCTGTACAGTCAAACCCCTTTATAAGAGACACTGATATAAGAGACAAATGGGTATAAGAGACACTAGTGTGCCTACAGTAAAATACTGGTTGATAAGAAAATGCCTATGTAGTGCCCTGCTTATAAGAGACATCTCATATAAGAGACAAAGATTGCTGCCCAGAACCTGCCTCTTATAAAGGGGTTTAACTGTATATCAAGCTGGCGTATCCGCCGCAAGTGTACCATGAGCGGACATGTAAATCATGCCGTATATGGCAAACATGTCATGATATTCATGTTACCACCTGTCGTTTACGCTCCTCATAAAAGCACGTCACCCTATACCATTGGTGGTGCACATAAAGCTGGCAAAGCGGCCATGAGCGCATGAGCGCAGCATGTGAAGCAGGCCGTACATGACACGCATAAAATGATTCACATGTTAAGATCAGTAATTCATGTTCGTCCTACGCTGATGGCGCTCGATCTTCACTAAGGTGTATATCAAGTTAGCAAAACGGTCGCAAGTGCACCACGAGCGTGACACGTGAATCATGCCGTACATGACAACATGTATATTGTGATTATCATATTTTCGCCTGGCATTTGTCCATTTCTTCGCCGCCCATTCACTTCACATCTACCACATTTGGTATATGTGTAGCTAGTGAAACCACCACAAGTGCATCACAAGTGTGGCATGTAGTCATGTTCTTGAATGACACGCATCTCATGATTATCATGGTTGCACCAGTCATATACCTTCGTCTTCCATTCACATCACGCATACCAAATTCGGTATATGTGAAGCTAGCGTAACGACCGCAAGCGCACCATGAGGGTGGTGTGTAGTCATGACTTACATGACGTACATTGCATGATTTCCATGTTAGGGCCTGTCACTTATGTTCACCGTGCAGTCAAGTCATACCATACCAGTTTTGTAATATGTCATGTGAACGAAACCACCGCAAGAGCAGCGAGACCATAAAATGTAAATCATGACATTTATGACATACATGCCAAGATTTTCATGTTATGACTAGTCGCTTATGCTCCTCGTACAGTCATGTTATGCCATACCGATTCAGGTATAGATCCCTTCATTGAAACAGCCAGGAGAGCCAAAAGTCGTAGGCGGCTAGATAGACAGATAAATAGTCAGATGCGATCAAAGTCGGCGAAGTTTGCTAAAAATGCAAAGAAGTCCGTGATGTTCTTTCGAACTTTCCTGCCCTTAGTGTCCCTTAATAAAGTGCCGCGGTTCCCTCACTCATGCTGCTGGCGCTATAAGGCGCGTGCGTTTACACTTGGCAATAAAGGAAGGGACAGCTGCAAAACTTCTTGAAAATTCTCTTGCTTCACCACTTAAGCAGCCGAAAAACGCACCGCGAAGTCAACATGAAAAAATCAGTCCTGGGGAATTCACACTAGAGAGCTCAAGCAAAAACACCAAACCACGTCCACACCCGTCGTAAATGTTCACATTTGTTCTGCCCCTCACATACATGCCAATGCCTCCCCGCCTTCGCCGCTTCAGAATTTATTCCTGAGTATTAAAATCTGTGCCAAGTTTTAGTTATGCATGCAAAGCACTAATAAAAAACAGTTTACACCTTTACAAATGTTGTTTCGAGAGATAAGTCAGACGAAACGACACGAGCGGACGCACCGGCAGCGGCGGCGAAGGATTCAGCCGGCAGTGCAAAAGCGACACGCATTAGGGCATGCCGACTCGCTGCTGCTGCACCATCTTCTACTTCCGGTGTTCACAATGATCGTAATTCAAACCAGGCTCTCGACGAACGTGTCTTTTTCCAGGCCGTGAGCTTTGTCATGCTGCACGGGTAGTTCCCGAATGCGCCGACGTGAGCCACTGCCGGTGCCTTTGCTGCCCTGTTCAATGTACAGCTGGTTTTTTGCATGACGTAGTTTGAGAGCTAGAGCAGCCGGTGTAGCCAAAGCCATAGCATAAAGGCGATCCGTTATCACGTGGTGACAAAATTGGTCTCGGATCAATTTTTTTTCACGTTGACCTTGTGGCATGATTTTGCGGCCAATTGTGGCGGCAAAGTGAAGGAAACAGTGTTGCGGCATTCGCTTCTTTTGAGGCCAAGTGTGAACGAGCCTTCCTCCCACAGACAAGCCATGTTGCACCGCTCACGTGCAGTGGTCGATCACGCATTCGTATCATCCGCAGATGCTGGTTAAACAACTCGTATAACACCGAATCACGGCGTATTTTATGTAATGTAGTCCATCCGAAGCAAACTTGAGATTCATATCATTGCGAAATTCGTATCAACCGTAATCGTATCATCAAGATTCTACTATATTATGGCTTTAAGATGAACCACAGCGCCACAATTTATCCAGCAATGAGACATATTAACTCGTCTATCATAACTATACTTGCATTAATTAGTATCTGTACAAGAGAGAGAGAGAGAAGAAAACGGCATGAAGGACATCCATCCACTCACTGTGCTGTCCATACACGTGATCCACGGTGGAAAACAACCAAGTTCCCATCGAGATCCATTGACACGGCAACAACTTGGCCAAGGTGCACCTCTGAATCAGGCCAACCTTCACTGGCTGAGAACGCTGAAAAAATGTAACATAAAGCATTAACATAAGCACGGTCAAAGCGAAAGCTAGAAGAGCAGCCTTTCAGAGCCTTTTCAAAACACTCATTGGGTAGCTACTGCAAGCACACTTGATTGGTACCCACTAGGGCATTAATAATAAACTTTTGGATAGTAGGCCCGCATTCGCTATGCTATTTTTCGTCATTCTTCTGAGAAGCGTGGTATCCGCTAAACACTCGCAAGGAATTTTGTGCCAATTGTACATGCAGTGGCTGACGATGATGAGAAATTATGGCTGAAGTGGGTATGAGCCACAGTTAATAGGAGAACAAGAACAAGCTTTTGTGAAGGTAAAGTGTTCTAGAACAGGGAAGTGCTCGGAACAGCCGTAGCACCAATGCATTAAAAGTGAAGCCCAAACAAAGTCAATCCACTCGTGGCGCTGCAATCGGTAGTCTGCAATACGTCGTCATTTTAAGAACTTTGCGCGGCTCCGTAGAAGTGGTTAAGGAGTGTAATGTTTGCTTCCCACTTAAAAGACCCAGGTTTGAATTGCAGATGTGAATGGTAAACTTTTTTATTCTAGATTTCGCATGCACATGTGTATTGCTTGGCTTTATTTTTTAATGTAGCTTTAGTTGCTACATGCTGTTATAAAAAGTGACACAAAATATGAAGTAAAGAAGAAGAAACTTGACAGCAAGTGTACTGGGACTTGACCTGCGGCTCCCCAGCACACGCGCTGTCAAATTTCTTTTTTACTTCATATTTCACATCACTTTTCATAACAGCATGTAGCAACTGAAACTACATTAAAAATAAAGCCAAGCAATACAGACGTGCAAGCAAAATCTAGATTAAAAAATGTTTACCGTTCACATCTGCGATTCGAACCTAGGTCTTTTGAATGGGAAGCGAACAATATACCCCTCAACCACTTCTACGGAGCCGCGCACAGCTCTTAAAAAGACGACGCATTGTAGACTACCGATCTCAGCACCACAAGCAGATTGACCCTGTTGGGGCTTCACTTTGGAGTTCTGTCTGGGCACTCCCCTGCTCCAGTACACTCCAGTGACGGTTTGGAGCATTGGACGGCCCATTTGTTACGCTATTCGCATTGAGCGAGGACTGGCCGTTCTTTTGCTGTTGTAAAACGCTTTAAAAGTCGTATTAACGTGATTGCTTTCCCAACAACAAGCCTGCCTAAGGCAAGTTTGACAACAAGTCACAAGCACCGGTGTAGCTCAGTGGTAGAATACTGGGCTAGCACCCAGCGAACCCGGGTTCAAGCCCCACTCTGTCATTGGTGCAAGGTGTTTTTTTTTTTAAATTTTGCGCAATGTGGTTACGGACACTGGCGGCGGCGGCAGACAGCAACAACTGCGCGTGACTTGAAAAGTGATCTCGTAACAGCTTTCGCTGTAAAATGGAAGAGATCCAACAGGTGAGGAGGCGCCAGGTGTCGGTTAGCGGGACTGCAGCAGATGAACGTAAGGGGTGTGTTCATTACGTGTGGGAAAAAAAAATCCAAATTTTGATGACTGAAGTTGAAGGTGTGTTTTTTATGCGAATGCATTCATTACGCGAGTATGTACGGTATACATATATAGTGTTTCTCATTGCTGTGTTGGGCAACTGGCAACATGTTACAAACTTTCAAATTTTGACATATTCTACTATAATATTTTTTTTTACTTAATACATTTTTTTCTGGAAAGCGCATTTCATTATGCACGATTTGGTATGATGGAATGCCTTCCGAAGCACTTTTTATGTTGACAAGCAGGTGAGTCGTGAGATCTACGAAAAATTACTATTTTCTCATGGCAACGAAAGAGTTAAGCAACAACGCAGGTTTAGACAACAGTGATTATGACACATTCGGTAACACACAACTTCACAATTACCCATAATATGCTATTTATACCATGGCACTGTGATATGATGCAACATAATATACAGTACAATATATAGTATAAAAGTAATTCCATGTTCATGCAGATTGGAGAACACATGTGTAACAAATACTGCCAATAAATAGGCAAGTCTATAAAGAACACTTTCTAGAATGCAAGACTGTATTATGCGTCTGTGGTTACTACAATTTACGGTTATTACATGAAGCTTAGGCATCCCTGCTTTCCTGCACCCACACCACCTCGGAAGGAATTTAAAACAGCTTACAATAATGGCTGCCAGTAGCTGGAAATCCTTCCACCACACTTTCGTCATGGTCACCGCTTTCTAGTGGGATCTGGCTCACTAGGGCTGGCCGCTCTAGGTTTTCACACTGACCCGATGTACGACCGCTGGACCGCAATGCGTAATACATCAGGTACAGGTTGCACATCTCTTGTCTAGCACCTGGCCTGCAGAATATAAAAGGCAAAGATTTTTGTGAGCTAAACATGAATAAGCAAAATTAGTTGTGTTTATTATGTGTCAAGTGTACTAACAAACCCAAATAGAGATCCTACTGTGGTAAATCATGCAAATTAGGTAGAAAACAGGAAGGATGTGTACTACTCTGCTTCAGTAGGCGTGTTTTAGTATGACTTCAAATAAAACCATGAAAAGTGATACCTACCGCAAGGTTGCTGGAAGAGGAAGAAAATGCTTGGCATTAATAAAGCTGCCATAGCACAATCAGCAGCGCACCACATGCTCAGTGCAGAAGTTGTGGGTTCAACCGTTGGCTAGCTTATTGTCCCCTACGTTTATCAAACCACAGACTATAGGTATTGTCCCCTGCCCTTTCTGTAGCTTTATCTGTTGCCTACTTGTGGTTGTGTTCCCAATCGTCCTTCGTTCCATACCCAGTTATGAGATGGTTTCCTTTGTTTCTTTTATTTTTGCAAGCCTGACCTGATTACCACATGCTTTTGATTTGTAGTGGTAGCAGCTACTCATATCATTTATACTTACCCGATTTCTGTGGGAAGCGCCCGGGACACGGTATTGTAAGTGCAACGGGATGCCTGCAAAGCATTGCTCATGAATTTAATCCCCAATTCCCGTGACAATATGTGAACTGTTAGGTGCACTCACCAAAACATCCCCAGGTTTGACAGGCACAGTCTTGTTCAAAGGATAAAATGCCTGAGGAGATAAAATGCACAAAAGATTAAAAGCAAAGATCTGCTGCTACAACAAATCTGTAGGGCATCATGAAATAATATTTAAATTAGTAATTCAACATAATCTACACAGGCCTAAATGGAATGCATCATCACAACATAAATGCAAACAGGAAAGACTGCTTAAGGTGTTATTACACTTATAAGTATGTGTCACTTGACAGAAAGCCACAGACCTAGCTTCTAAACAATTCCCTGACACATGCAATCACAAGCAATTACAGGCTCTGTTAATCAAAGGTGATCCGTTGGTACAGCTAACCACAACTGCTATTTTTTGTAATTTTTTTACTTGAGGTATCTAATTATCACCCATAAATCGGTATTAGATGTGTTAAAAAAAAAGTACTTCTTCACACAAGAATTCTACTTCAGTGTATTCTCTAGCACATTCTTTAAATACTGGCTGAAATCTATGCTTCTAGATACAAAGGTTCCTTAGAAAAATGCACATACGCATGTTTTGAGATTATGGCGCTTAAAGTAGGAAATATGCTTCATTTCAAAAGTACCACGAAATTACCGCCAACTCAAGGACATTTTTAATAGCCACCAGTCATATACTCAATCTTTATGAGTTGAGGCGTCTCTGCCTGGCGGGCCTCCTTTGTCGCCTCTTTCGCAGTCCTGTCAGCCAAGTACTGTCAACTCGGGTAAAGTGGGTGTCGACCCTGAACTGTGTAGCGACCTGGCAAAATTTCAAATGATTTCAGCACATCGAAACGAGCTGCACTGCCTTTATTACAGGTGATTACAGTGTCAATACCGCATATTTTCAGTGTTAGGGGTCCGAGAAACACGTTTTTCGGAGCACGCTCTCACACGACATTGTTGAACGTCTTGTTGGGTATTGAGTTTTCCCATGGAGGCATTTTGGAAGTGATTCGAGATATAGCAAGTTGCTCATAAATTGGCTTAACAGCCTCAAGAACAGATGCCGGAAGATGTTCTTTGTGAACGTATGGTTCACCACAGAACTGAGCTTTGTTGAATTTGCACCAAGTATTAGCATCCTTTGGGCAAAGGCCGTGAGATCGATAAATATTTATTGATACCACGTGGAAATACGTGGCCTAGACAGCCTTTTGCATGTCCTCTAAGCTGCCTATATTTCTTCTAATAGCTAAACCATAATATTTTTGGAACTCTGCGAACAAGGCGCGCAAACAACATGTGCAAAAAAACGCCCACAAAGTACTTTTACCTGTGGCTAAACATTGACTTGGCAGATGAAGCACTTGTCCGACAAATTATCATTTCCACTAAACTTGTCAAAAAATTAGTGCCCTTCATTTCGGTGCGTTTTCAGCTGTGCACGTGTGCACTCAGGTGAAGCGTACCTAAGGGGGTGAAGCACACCGCCTAAGTTTCGAAATCTGTGGTTTTAAGACAGAAAAAAAGTCGCGCTCGAACAAACAAATAAATGATTCTGGTTTAGAAAAGACTGCAGATTTCAAATTGTTGAAAAAAAAAGAAAACTGTTTTTTTTTTCAATATTTTTGCTTACCCTGTTCCCTTAATGGCCTGTTCCCTTACAGGCCTAAATGTAATGGCAGGCCTATTAGCACTGGTAAATCTAAGACTTAAGGAGCACTATTCCATGGCACAGAATAGAGTCAAAGACTGACAATCAGGTGAAAGCATGTGAAGTGATGGCTGCCTGTTGCCATCTACTATCCATACAGAGCGGAAGCTTTTGAGTTTCTTTACCTGCGGTTGGTGTGGATCTCCCTTGACCAGCAAGCTCCACCGGCCATTGTGCAGCAAGTAGGCTGTAACAGCATGTCCCAAAGAGTGTGTGTGCACCCGGTAGGCGAATACAAAGATGGGTTCCTCTCGGCTTGCCACACAGTTGACATCCACAGGAAAGTCTAGAGTGAATAACCGGTCCAAGTACATAAATAATTATGACAATTTAACTTGGCAAACAACATGGTGACATCTAGAGAAAATGTGAGATATACTTTTGCAGACAAATATTTATATCATATCACTTAATGTCAAACATTCCAGAAAGACGACATTTTGAATAGCAGACAGGAACATGAGTGATTACTTCAAATTTAGAATATCACACAAAAAGGCAGCATAATGCTAATGAAGGGAAAAAAAATGCCAGATCCCATGTACAGTGGGAATTGATGATATGTGAAGCACGAATGAGGAAGGTTGATATGTGACTTCAAAATCAACACAACTTTACGAAGCGGGCGTAAATTATGCCATACATGACTTCCATGTCATGATTATCATGTTTGGACGTGTCATTTACTTTCATCATCTATTCATGTCACATGATACCAAATTCGGCATATATAGAGATGGCAAACCAACCGCGAGCACGCTATGAGCGAAGCACGTAGTCAAGTTTTACATGACACGCATGTCATGAATATCATGTTTGGGTGTCTCATTTAATATTTATGTCACGTGATACCGAATTTGTAGGCTTGTGCAAATATTCAAATGATTTGAATATTCGAGTGAATAGTAGAGTATTCAAATTCACTTCGATTTGAATTTAACTTACTGAAAATTTCGAAGTATTCGCAATGAACGAATATGTGTATATTAATCCGCATGTAACTGCCTGTAAAGGTGGTTTCGCTGCAGTAAAGTGGTGCTAAGCCGTGAAAGAACCTAACCAAGAAAAATTCGGTTTGCCATGAAGCCTCACTTCACATTTAAAGGTGCCCTGCAACACTTTTTGAGCGTGATCAGAAAACGCTGCAGATTCTAAGTTGAAGCTCCCAAGAATACCCGAGCCAAATATTATAGCGCAGTAGGCGGCCTGCAATTCGCAATAAATTCTCAGTTCGCTAAAAGTTGCTCTCTTCTTCTAGCAAATGCACAAGCTCAAAAATAATTTGTTACTGCCATTGTATCAGCTATTGTCTGATTTCAGCATGGTGTGCTCGGTCATTACTGGGGCCGCCACGGGAGGCCGCCACTGGTCCACGCGTACGTGCACAATCACACTGGAAAACCGCGTATTTTAAGAAAAGAGAGAGAGAAAAAGAGCTCAAGGTCCCGAGGCATGCGTGGCGTGTTTTCTTTCCCCATGCCATCCCTCCCTGCTTAGCCTTCGGCAGTTTAAAGAAGAGAGAATGCAATTGCAGCATGCGACAAATCTTTGCAACTATGCTCGTACTAGATAGATTCTAAAGCTTTTTGCGGCGGTGAATCCATGAGGCAGTAAGCTTCTTTAATGAATCCATTTCGTGGCTACTTGAAAAAGTGTTGCAGGACCCCTTAAAATGACCATATTACCCTGAAACAAATTCATAATTTTTGGAGCTTAAAAACTTGTTATGATGTCTTATATGTTGAAGTATAACAAATTTTAAAATGTTATGTATTTTACAGGTTATCACATGCATCCTACTGAAAGTCAAATCCTGCAACTACTCAAAGTTGTTTCCACTTCCTTTACAGAAAAAAAAAAGAAACTCTTTGCATAGAGGCCTTATTTTAATTTTTTTAAATATTGGCCAGATAAGTTAGATCAAAATATATGTGCCCATTTTTTATGTGTTATATATACTAATAGAATTTGATTCAAAATTATTTGACCAAAATCACTATTCACTTCAAATTCGCTTCGAACCTGAAATTCACTATGCGCACAGGCCTACAAATTTCATATATGTGGAGCTAGAAAAACAGCCGCGAGCGCGCTATGAGCGTAGCATTTAGTCATATTTTATATGATACGCATGTCATGATTATGTTTGAATAGTTCATTTATCTTCACCGTCCATCCATGTCACGTATTGCCAAATTTGGTATATGTGATGCTAGCAAAACAGCCGCGAGCGCATCAAATGCGTGGTATGTTTTCATGTTCTTACATGACATGCATGTCATGATTATCATGTTTATACCAGTCATACACCTTCATTATTCATTGACGTCGCGTAACACCAAATTTGGTACATGTGAATCTAGCGAAATGATCGCGAGCACACCATGAGCCTGGCGTGTAGTCACGATTACATGACATGCATGTCATGATTTCCATATTAGGGTCTGTCAGTTACATTCGGCATGCAGTCATGTCATACCATGCCAGTTTTTCTATATGTCATGTGAACGAAACCACCGCAAGCGCAGCAAGACCGTGCCATGTAAAACATTACATTCATGTCATGATTTTCATGTTATGACTAGTCACTTGAGAAAGAAAGGCAGGCAGGCACTCAAAGTCACCAACGTTTGCTAAGAAATGCCTCGCATTAAAGAGTTACAGTTGAATCTCGATAATTCAGACTCGAAGGGGCCCGAAATTTGTTTAATTAAAAGAAGTTTGAATTAATGAAAGCTCTATCTTCGCGCACGACGTTGGAATGAGAAGGGTCTTTACGGGGCAGGGACGGAAAAGGGACAAGCGTGACACGGACGCGTCGCAGAGCAACATTTGAGAGAAAGCAAACATTCCACCGCAGTCTTTTCTTTCCTTTGATTTCCTTGGCACGCAGCGTTGAGGTGCCGCAGGTTCCGTTGCGGGATTCGGCGGGGTGCTGAGAGCATTTTCAAAGCGCGGTATGTTCAAATTAACCGTCGCAAGTGCTTGCGCATTAGAATGACCGGGCGTTTTCACCCATTTGGATACACATAGCTTTGACGGGACCTCATCGTGAAATCGAATTAACCGGAAGTTCGAATTAATGAGATTCGACTGTATTAAACTTACTTGTGTGACCAGGTGGGATGGTCCTGTCCTTAGCATAGAATACATGAATTCCAGCCAAGTATCTCTGCCTGAAAAAAAAATTGTGCGAAACATTAAACAATGCAAGCCTGTAGAACATGTTTTTCGAATCCTGTGCACGTAAACAGCAAGGCCGAACCACAATATTGATACTCAAGCAATTAGAACAAGTGACTGTGATGAGAAATTTGGGTCTTTTAAGATATCCAGTTGTTGGCCCATGCATAAAATTTTTCGTGCTCTTGGAACTCAATAAATTACTTCCATTCATCCATCCACCCCAGAAGTCTGCGTCACATGCGGAGCTACTCTCAGTCACATGCAGAGTTGCTCTCCGTGGTTCGACGAGTCTCAAGCCTTGCATCGACGAATGAGTGTGACAGGCGCGTCTTCAAAGGTGTAGACATTCCCCTGAATGGTAAGCCCGCCAAAGAAAGTTTCCACGTTTTTGCTCCAGAATGAACTATGCGTTGTACCAGCAAATAAAGAGGCATGAGTTGCTGTACTACCAATGAATGTGTATTTTCTAAAAGTGCATGACGCAGTTTCTTTTGTGTTCAATTGGTGTCCTGATGTACCACCAACAAATGTGAAAGCAAAAGCCAAAGAATTCTGTTCGCAACTAGATCTGTAAAAGCTGGCAGTAGCAATAATAAAAAGTGAGAATTCGGCCCTTGGTTTGTTTTTTTCATGCAAAGCTCATAAAGAAGATTCGTCATTTCTCGTAATAATTTCAGAAAGAAAGGAACGTGACAGAAAGCACTAGCGGGCTTCATTCAACAAAAATTGAAGCTAAGCACTGATGATCCCCTCTTAACCCATAATTCTCAAGAAGTCATCAGTTTTATCAATCAGCACCCTAACAAACTGCTTTTGGGATAGATGTGAAAGACTTGTATTATTCTCTGCCAACTAATTTCGTGTATCGAGTAAGCATCAATGAATTCCGCCCTGTAGTATTCCACAACACAACTTGCACAACTGCCTCTGCTTTCTTAGACCTTGTGCTTTTGTATCTTAAGTCTACCTATGTTGAATAAAATAAAGAACTTTTTCTTTAAAAAAATGGTGTTTGCATTGGCTTGTGCATTGCCCCACTTCTAAGCGACTTCTTTCTAGCAAAGGTAGACCGATTGATTTGTGGGGTTTAACGTCCCAAAACCACCATATGATTATGAGAGACGCCGTAGTGTAGGGCTCCGGAAATTTTGGAAAGCTAGACAGAGCTCTTAGTGTACACTTTACTGGTAACAGTGTTCCGAGAACTATGCAATTTGTTGAGGATTCTCTTACGGTTCTCAAGTGCAATGCTGATAACTTCCAACGTGTTAGCAGTCACCTACTTGCATATTTTAATGAGTGTCTGTTGCCCCTGTACATCACACACGAAATGCCAGGGGACAGCACCATTCAGTTTCTAGATCTGCGGCTATGTTTAAATCAACATACATGCTGGATATATGAGCCGCGAGCACAAAAACCATTGTTGTTGTACACAACATCACGCACAAAATCAGTAGAAAGAAGCATAGTTCAAACATGTCTTTCGAATGCCTTGAAAAACCCATGTCAACACGTCACCAAAAGTTTCATGGTGCAGATACATTGGCTCAAAGCAGCAGGTTATTTGAAAAAAAAAAAAAAAAAAAAAAAAAAACTCCTCATGTCAGTAGCTGAAACAATCTATAGGAGAAAGAAAAACTGCAGGAAAAGTGATCAGGAGGCAGATATGGAAGCTGATCGATGCAAAGAAGGTTTCAGTCATACCTTACATGCATACTATATCACATCATCTCAAGGAAACAAGGCAACATTGCGGTGTTCAAGTGGCTTTTTCAACACCCCATAAACTGCCATATCTTTCGTATGTCACATCTCCTGTGAAGAAAAAGAAACACCAGTGCACTATCGTATTCCACTTTCATGCAGAAGCCAAACAGGAAGGCGTATGGATGACCACCTTCATAAGCACAACAATGTGCACAACCCTAGAGTACAGAAGAATTTCTAGCCATTCATTGGCACTCCTGCAATTGCACCCCCCCCCCCCCCTCGTCTGAGGAAATTACAATCATCAGCAGACATCAGGACCAGCACGCCCGCAAAATCATCCAAGCCGCCCATATCGTGTAAGAAGGTTAATTATGCACACGCATGAGATCTGTCTGTTTATCAAAGAAAGAATTATCTTTTTTTGAAAGAGCATGTGCGATCGTTTTGTCATGCTTTATTTTTATATTTTGTTTTCACATTTTTTTGTGTACACATTTTCTATTTGTGTGGAATAAAATTCAGTTGCTAGTCAGCACTTGTCTGTCTTTCTTCTTGTGCTTCATGTTGAATTCGCCTTGTTTGTACTTCATAACGCTAAACAAACTAGCCCAAAGCATCACTTTATTAGGTTGTGTCTGCTATTGTTTTCGCCGTCATTCTGGAAAAACAGGCAATTTTGTCGGCTGCGCCAAAGCTGAATGATACGGATTACTCTATCGGAAAAGATTATTCGCTTGGTACACGGCAAGCCAGAAAAAAGCTTCTTGATTTTGCGAGGCTGCTAAAAAAGTCGTTCAAACTCTTTGTTGATAAGCTGCACATTGGAAAGGCCACATATATTTATGTGCATGAAACCGATTCTGTTGTGGAATTGCAAAGATAGCCAAAAAAGAAGTGTAAGCAAGGTTGCACAAAACCTTTCACGCTACATTAGCTTCACGTCTCTGGGTAACCCTTATTAACTTACGTAGTTTAATTCCAAAATGTGAATCCCTTTGTCCTTTATTAGAAGATAATGACACGGATGTCGTAGCTCTAACTGAAACTTGGCTGCACCCAGAGATGCGCGACAGTGATATTTTTTCTGACTTCAATAACTACAACATCTATCGGCGAGATCGTGCGGGACGACGGGGAGGCGGTGTACTGATTGGAATTAAAAATCGCTGTCTTCGTTCTCAATTCATACAAACTCGTCCCTTGAAATAGTCTGGGCAGGATGCACGACTACAACAAAAACAATACTGTTTGGTGCTTGTTACCGCCCACCAGAAGCCGATCCAAAATTTGCGGACAAGCTTCATCAGAGCTTTGAAATGGCAACCCACAGTTTTTCTTCAGATGAAGTATATCTTCTTGGTGACTTCAACTTTCCTGAAATAGACTGGCTTACATTGTCTTCGCCATTTCAAAACTCAACTGATTTTCTTGGCTTTTCGTTAGATTTCAATTTGTTCCAGGTAGTCAATGAACCTACTCGGGAATCTACCTAATACACTCGATCTCATCTTAACTACTGCACCCGAAACGGCTGATACGATATCTTGCCTGGATGGCTTTTCTGACCACAAATGAATCCAGCTATCACATCGCATCCCACTTGCTCACGCCGGCACAATTACGAAAAAAATTCGCGACTTCAGCAGGGCCAATTACATTGAAATGAACTCGAATCTAGAACATTTTTTTCATGAAAAATTTCTCCCCAATTTCAATGATCGTGCAATTGAAGCAAAATGGGTACTTTACAGGAGTTATATGGCTACTTTGATCGATCTTTAGGTTCGATTAAAAACCATTACAAAGGACAAGACTAATCCTTGGTTCAATCGATCACTACATAGACTTCGGAACACGATAAAGCGGTTGTATAAGGCAACAAAACGTGGTTCCAATCCTACGGCTTTCATGAAATATAAAGAATTCTTAAAAATTTTCGCCAGTGCAATATGTGACTAAAAAAAAAAGTACTATTCTAACGACTTGCCCTCTCTTCTTCAACACAATCCCAAAAAGTTTTGGCGGACTATTGCACATGAGCAGCATTATCATCAAATTTCATTACACGACGATAAACAAGCACCAGTGTCTGCTAGCGAGTGTGCAACACTGTTTAATAATTTTTTTTCTTCTGTGTTTACGCATGGAGACCACTGAAATGTACCATTTGTACCAGAACAGGACTGGCGCTATATGGAACCCATTGCATTACTGTTGATGGCATTTAACGCCTCATTGCTAACCTCAAGGTGCCTACATCTGCCGGCATTGATAACATCAATTCAGTAATACTGCAAAACACCTCATCAATTTCAAGTCAGATATTACGCTATTTATTTAATCAATCCTTGGAGTCAGGGAACCTACCGGTCGATTGAAAGGTTGGTAAAGTCGTCCCCATTCTTAAAAACGGGAACAAGCACTCACCAGACAATTATCGTCCAATAAGCCTCACATGCATCTGTTGTAAGATGCTTGAACACATTGCGTCGCATGTTTTCAGTCATCTTGAAAGTAATAAGTTTTTCTTCCCCAATCAGTATGGATTCTGAAAATACTTTTTTTGTGACACGCAATTGCTAGAATTTACTACCGACTTGCATTTTAACGTGGACGCTAATCAGCAGACCGACTGTATATTCCTGGATTTCTCAAAAGCCTTCGATCGCGTAGCGCATTGTCGACTAATATTAAAATTATCAGCTCTTAAACTACACTCACTATCTTTAACTTGGATACGTAACTTCCTGTCTCTCCGTCAACAATTTACAGTAGTTAATAGTTTTTCCTCTTCCCGTTGTCATGTAACTTTTGGTGTTCCTCTGGGTAGTGTTCTCGGAACCCTTCTATTCTTGATATATATTAATGACTTGCCACATAATATATCATCAAGGATGCGTTTATTTGTGGATGACTGAATTGTTTACCGCGCCATCACGAACGACGCTGACCACATAGCTCTTCAAAACGATCTTAACGATATTTCGCATTGGTGTGAAATCTGCCTTATGTCCCTTAACCTGTCTAAATGCAAGTTTGTATCATTCAGTCGGAAGCTTAACACTTCCACCTTTAAATATATGCTAAACAACTTACCTGTCTCCCAAGCTTCCTTATACAAGCATCTGGGCGTGCATATAACTCACAATCTTTCCTGGTCCGTGCATATAACTACTGTTTGTGCAAAAGCCTCCAGAACCTTGGGATACTTACGTCGTAATTTGAAACACTGCCCTACGAATGTCTGTAAACTAGCCTATTTAACGTACGTTCGTCC